CAACCCCCTGATGGGCCCTGCTCTGTGCATGACAGGGGGTGGCGCCGCAACCTCCCCATCGACCCTGCCTTGAGTGTGACAGGGGGTGGTGCCCCAACCCCCCAATCGGCCCTACCCTGAGCGTGACTGAGGGTGGCATCGCAACCTCCCGATCCGCCCTGCTCTGTGCATGACGGGGTGGCGCCCCAACTCCCCAATCGGCCCTGCTCTGAGCCTGACCAGGGGCTGCACCTAGGGATTGGGCCTGCCCTCTGCCACCCAGGAGCAGGCCTAAGCCAGCAGGTCGTTATCTCCCGAGGGGTCCCAGACTTCGAGAGGGCACAGGCCGGGCTGGGGGACCCCCCCTCCCCCTGCCCCCCGAGTGCACAAATTTTTGTGCACCGGGCCTCTAGTAAAGTAATAAGATTTTAATGCAAGTGTAACTATATCACTCTATTATGCTATTACCCAAATACTTTCAAAATTTTTCTTTTGGAAGTTTCTGGAGACTTTATAGTCCACCTCACAAAATAGTCTTTGCCATCTGTATGTTTCCTAGCACTGCCGTAAAAAAAAAAAAAAAGAAAATACTGCACACTCAGGCTTAAAATGACAAAAATGTATAAATGTATTCCCACAGTTCTGGAAGCCAGGAGTCTGAAATCAAGGTTTTGTCAGGGCCACGTTACTCTGGAAGACTCTAGGGGAGAATCTTTCCTTACCTCTTCCAGCTTCTGGTGGCTGTTGGCATGCCTTGACTTGTAGCCACATCACTCCAGTTTCTGCCTCTGTGATCATGTCGTCTTCTCTTCTGTGACTGTTTTCTTCTCTTTCTGTCTCTTATACAGATGCTCATCATTGGATTTAGGGCCCACCTGGGTAACTTAACGACATCTGCAAAGACAGTTTTCTCCAAATACAGCCACACTCACAGGTTCTGGGGATTAGGACTTGGATATATCTTTTGGGGGCCACTGCTCAACCCACTAGTCCATCATCCTAGTCCTATTCCTCTCTCCCTATTCATTACTTTTCACCATGGCCCTGCCTCCCTTTTCCTCCTCCCTCTGTCTCTCAGATTCAACAGTTTGAGTACTCACAGAGAAGTTTGAATGAAGGGAGGGGAGTCTGTTTTCAGAAGTTGGAACTGTGTTATCAGGAGCAAATCAAGAAGCAGACCATCCTGCACTGGCAGCATAGTAAGTGCTGCAAATGGGAGCATGACAGCAGTTAGCTCAGTAGCATAAATACAAAAGTTAGACGGCAAATGAAAAGTACCTAGGAGGTAGGTAGGTATGTATGTATGTATGTATGTATGTATGTATAAATAAATAAGGTTTCTTCTGTATGTCTTCAGTTCTTAACAAGGTTATAAAAGTAGAAAATAAAATAAGATTATAGCCCAGCTGGTGTGGCTCAGGGGTTGAGCGTCGACCTATGAACCAGGAGGTCAGGGTTTGATTCCCAGTCAGGGCACATGCCTGGGTTGTGGGCTCGGTCCTCAGTAGGGGGCTTATAGGACACAGCCAATAAATTGTTTCTCTATCATGGATGTTTCTCTCTCCCTCCCTACATATTATTATGAAGTAGATTAAATAATTAAGATTTATGTTCTGATTTTTTTCACTTTCATTTGCAACTCAAAGTTTTAACACTTGTTTTAAAGCTAGATATTAAAGAAGAAATTGAAGATGAAGAAAAGACAATTGAAGATTATGTTGATAAGAAGATGAATGACATTGATTTCACTTCCATTGAAACTATGTACTCTGTTGCCAGTCAATGTCTGAATGAAAAGAAAAATAAGAGACCAGACATTAAGATGGTATTAATTTTTTATACTTATTTAAAAAGTGAAGGAGGTGGGATTTGTCATTTTTTCCTTAAGAGTGCATTTCAAAACAACTATTTAATACAGTTCTTTTGTTTTGTTTTTTTCTCTCTGTCTTTATAAAAGGTCCAACAGCTGCTGCAAGAAATGATGGCTTCTTAAAACTTTAGAAGAATAGACTCTTGGCTTTTTAATATACAGCTATCAAAACCATTTTCTAGACTAAATGTTCTGGTAAACATTCTTTTTTACCTTTAACAAAGCAGCATGATGCAGTGCAGTGGTTATTAAAGCTTATGTAGAACCCCTAACATACAGAACAAACAAAAGTAGAGCTGCCATATCAATGCTTGGCCTGAACTTCTTAGTGTCACCCTCCATTCATGCAGTAATCCCTTGAAACGTCTTCTTGGAACCTCACCAAACACAATTTGAAAACTACAGGATTAGCAAAAAAGAGGACTGGACTATAGAATGAAAAGGCCCAACTCCACTACTAATTTTCTATAAAGCTATGGTCAATCTCTTCGCTGCTTTGAGCTTGGTTTTTTTCACCTGTAGCATTGGATTATACTTACTGTACCTCTCTGACAAGTAGTCATGAAAATCAAAGGATGCAGAATGTTTACAAAGTACTTATAAAGTGATATAAAATTTAAATTTTATATAGATGATTATAAAACTTTTACAGTCATTTGTTTATAGGGTCATGTTCACAATGAGCTCTTTTTTAATTTATTTTTTTATTTTTATTGATTTCAGAGAGTGAGAGAGAGATAGAAACATCAATGATGAGAAAGAATCATTGATCGGCTGCCTCCTGCACACCCCACACTGGGGATCAAGACCACAACCCAAGCATGTGCCCCAACTAGGAATCGAACCATGACCTCCTGGTTTATAGGTTGATGCTCAAACCACTGAGCCATGCTGGCCAGGCCACAGTGAGCTCTTTTAAGCAATTATTCACCACAAGCCAAATATTCCCAGATGATATTCCCGTGATATGGCCATAATTAGATTATGTTACATAGCAAAGTTGATGGAACTTTGCAATGCAGTTAAGTTTCCTAATCAGCTGACTTTGAGTATCAACAGGGACTGTGCTGGGTGGCCTGACCTAAGGTGAGCTCTTGCAAGAAGTCTGAGAGATTCTCCTGTGGGCCTTGAAGAAGGAAGCTCCCATGTTGTAAGAAGGCCACATTGGCTAAGACCTAAGGGTGGCTTTCAGGAGATGAGAGCTACCTTCTGGCTGGGACTTCAGATCTATAGCCACAAGAAACTGAATTCTTCTAACAGCCTAAATTAGCTTAGAAGAGTATTCCAGACTTCAGATGATGCTGTAGTCCCAGCTAACACCAAAATTTCGGCCTTGTGAGACCTTCAGTGAATCTAGCTGAGCTGTGCCTGTACTTCCTACATACAGAACGGTGACATAATAAATGAGTTGCTATAAGCTACTAAGTCTATGGTAAGTTATTATGCAGCTATAGAAAATGGATGCAGATATTCCCTTTGATGATTCTCCCATGGTGATATACCATCATGTTCACAGATTCTGCTTATGCTCAAGGGGTTGATAGGGATTAAACAGTGTGTATGTACACCAGGGGGTTGCAGTGTACTGACTTTCACTGGATTTCTCGATTTTCCTCAGTCGCTTCTCTTTTGTTGTTTGTTCTACTCCAGAGAGTGAGAAACCTCTGGATAGTACTGATGAATTGATTTGTTTTGTTTAAATGACTTTTAATAATTTCTCCTAAGTTTAAAATTTTCAATTGGTTTATATTATTTGAAAATTTTTTTCAGATTTGGGTGAGCAGAAGGAAGTAATTTACTTAATCATGAAAACTGACTGATAGAAAAGCTAATATGTATAGAAGAAATGCCGAGTGGCTGCAATTATTCACTCATTCATTCAGTAAACTTTCTATCTTTAGTTCTTTCATTAACACACTCAGAGCAAGAATATGTACAGTTAGCTGCAGTAGAAAATGCTCATCCTCTATATTGTATCATTTAGACCTTCCTAAATGTTTTCCTGGGAATCAAAAATAACACATCTTTCTAATCACCTTGTTAGCTCAGTATTTAAGCAGAAAGAAACATTTGCTAGTTGAAAAGGAAAAAGAAAAATAAGTAAAATGACTTAATTAAATCAACTTCAATGGGAACCCACATAATTTGAGGCATGATATGATACTGAACATAATTATGTTATTTTAAAATATAATTAACTATTTCTTGAAATAAAAGCATTTACATAAAATTACATATTTATATCTCTTATTGTAAACTGTTACCAAACTATACTCAAATTTTTAAATGAGTAAACTATATTTTTGATTTTGAAATTTTTGTGATGTTATTTGGTAGATGTTTTCATTTCATCAAATGGAATTGATATCAGATTTACCAAAATTAGACATAGCTTCCCCCACAATAAGACTGTACCTTAACTCTTTGGGCAGCAATAATACAGTAAATCTAAGACTCAAAAGTATCACCACACTGTTTCATCTTTTAGCCTGATGGCATCTGATGCATCATGGACTGCTGAACTTGTGTGACTCATTCAGCTATGGGACGGAGCAGCAGAGAGGTTGTCCTCAGCTCATACATGAACATGACTTTCACTAAAGTTCTGAGAATAATGTTCAGGCTATTTGTACTGTTTCCCTCAGGCAGAAATGAAAAATGTGGGGTGACATCTAGTTAAAGCTTTTTCTTAACTTCATTTGGAATATGCTTCCCCCTAATTTTGTATAGAAGCAGAATATTTTAAATAGATTTTTGAAAAAAACTTTTGACAGGTTTTGCAAGTTTTGATGTGAACTTTTAATGTTTCCTCCAACAACTGATTGTGCAAACCAATGAGCAATGACAAAAGTGGTTGAGAATCACCCACAGACCCCATTTCCAGAAAGAACAACTGTTTTTAATCCCATTTTCTGACCCATTGGTTTGCTAGTTAGCCAACTCAAATTTTTAAATTGTATTTACCTCAATATGAGGAGCAAGCAGGTAATAAGAACAATTAGTCATGTTTTGCTTTATTTTTCTAATATATAATTAAGAGAAATTTAAGACATTCTAAAGCATTTACGGCTCTGTCCACTTTTTGGTTCTGTAAATATATGATAGTAAAATGGCAATAGGTCTCAGCCATTTATAATCCTATTATTCACTTTCAAAATCAGCATATATTTTATTTTCCAGCTTTATTGTGGTATTCTTGATAAATGAAAATTGTATATAGCCTGGCCAGCGTGGCTCAGTGATTGAGCATCAACCTATGAACTAGAAGGTCACAGTTCAATCCCCAGTCAGGGCACATGCCCAGATTGTGGGCTCAATCCCAGGGGGTGGGGGGTGTGCAGGAGGCAGCCAATTGATGATTCTCTCTCATCATTGATGTTTCTTTCTATCTCTTCCTCTCCCTTCCTCTCTGAAGTCAATAAAGTATATATACTTAAGGTATTTAACTTGATGGCTTAATATATGTATAAATTGTGAAATGATTACCATAGTCAAGCTAATAAATCCAACACTTCATGTAGTTACATTATTTTATTTATTTATTTATTTATTTATTTATTTATTTGGTATAATGATAGAGGGATTCGCTCAGCTAGGAAGCTTTAACAACACCCAAGCTAAAAAAAAATATATAATTAAAAAGAAAAGACTAGCCCTGGCTGGTTTGGCTTGGCGGATGGAGCGTCAGCCTGCGGACTGAGGGGTCCCAGGTTCGATTCCGGTCGGGGGCGTGTGCCTGGGTTGCGGGCACATCCCCAGTAGGGGGCGTGCAGGAGGCAGCTGTATCGATGTTTCTCTCTCATCAATGTTGCTAACTCTGTATCCCTTTCCCTCTCCCTTCCTCTCTGTGGAGGGTCAATAAAATATATTTCAAAAAAAGAAAAAAGAAAAGACTATCAGAATATAGTATCGGGAATGACTAGAATATACTTTAGCTTAGAGAAAAGAAATAAAAACTTAAACTGAATCAAGTTCTATTTGTGTGTTACTGGTGTTATCAGAGGCCTTTAGGTCAGCAGTGAGCCAAGAATAAGACTTCATCATAATGTTTCTCCTGCTGTCCTGGGGAAAGGAATATTGTGTTCCAGATGATGTCAGATATTTTTCTCTACTGGCTATTCATACATCAGGGAAGTTTGGTGAAGATTTTTGTGAAGGTCATCCAACCTGTTTTCTCTGCACTAACTCCATGCTTATGTAGCAGCTTTTGTATTTTGACTTATTATTTCTTGCCTGGATTTGCCTTTTAGAAGGTAATGCACAGTAACAATCTACATATTACAACTACATATTAGTTTCTATTGCAGAATGTCTTTTTATGATTAACAAAATCACACTCTGGTTTATACCTAAAGCTTTTGAAAGTTTAGCATGAATTAAATCTTTAGAGACTGATCATTTCAGGCTGCAATGCTGAAATCCAAGCCCTAGACTGTAGGACCCTATCTCCTGCTATAGCCATTCTAAGAGCCAAATGGTATCTCCACCTCTTTTAAGAATTAAAGATTAGCTAATGCTATGGTGGTAATCGTTTTACAATATATAAGTGTATCAAATTAACACATTGTACACCTTAAACTGTTCTACCCTTTAAACTTATGCAATCTTTTATGTCAGTTATATCTCAATAAAACTTGGGGTGGGGAGTTAAACATTTAAACAGGGTCTACATCCTTAGCACCTCAGACCATTTATAAAAATGTCTCAAAAATGAAACAACTTTTATTATAAAGAGATGCATATCTCCATCATATATTTTAGAGGAAGAGTAGCATCCATCTTTATAGTGATAACAGAGTTTGACTATCATAAGTTAGTGTCCTTAAAAATTTTGAAATGCTGACCAGTATGTTTAAAAAACACACAAAACTCAATATCGCTTCCATTAGTGGCATTCTTTGGTGAAATATTCTTAAATCAATTCATAAGTTAGCAGAGGGAACATGTGATAATTTACTCTGTTAAATTTATTAGGAAGCCTTGCCATACAACATTCTTTTTTTTTGGCCAAAAAAGATCAATAATATCTGCCTTTAAATATTTAGACCTCGCAAATGTCAAAAGAGCTCTGAAAACTCACCTTTCCATAAAAACAATGAAAAAGCTGGCAAAAATGTTCAGAATTGACTTTTTCAGAACGGGAAACTAACCAAAGGCTTGCAGCAAACAAGAAAACCAGCTGAATCTCAGTAAGAGCAAGCTTTGTGGCATATTAACTTATTCTAGTCTCTCATTCCTTGCTCAGTGGTAGCCTTGAAAAATAACAGCCCACATTCTTGGTACCAGAGGGAGAACAGAGTGGAGCTTTTTCAAAGCCTTATTCTGAAAGAAATGTCATTATTTGATCTCACTGGCAGTTCCCTGGAAGACCCCATTCAAAGGCTTCTCTTTATTTGACCTAAATCTCACCTAGCACTAAAAGCCTCTCCCTGGAGTCATTTGTCAAAAACATTTACTGGCAAATATTGTAATCACAGCTGTCTGAGGTGA